TACAAATCGATCTACAGATAGATTCAAGATCCACAAATAGGAATCACTAACCATGGGAAATCATTTGCTTGGAATTTGTGAGAAAAAAAATCTATTCTATTATTAAATTAGTCCAATAAATGAATACATAAAAAAATTAATCTATAAAATGTCTAACAAAAGATTAGATAAAGATTGGGAAAATGGAGGGCAAAAATACAAATGTAGATGAACATGGGTGCATGAAGTGGGACAGTGTGCAGGTTGTCAAACATTTAGGTAGGCAGTTCATTTCTCAACGTTTATTGATTGTAAAGATAATTTGTAGGTCATATATATGAGTAGATGGTTTCCAGGTATAGCTGTTTTTAAATGTTTATATCATAGAAAAATACACCTTGAGTTAAACATTATTACTAAGGGTCTACAGCCATGCTAACGGCTCTAAAAGGCTGTAAAGCAATGCTAGGAACTAAATGCTAACATCAACAATGCTAACATGCTCACAATGACAATGCTAACATTGGAAATATAATGACATATGATTTATATCTAAGGCTAACATGTTGTTGCTAAGCAAGTGTAAATTGTACCATGTTCACCATCTTAGTCTAGTGTGTTAGCATGCTAATATGATAATTAGTACAAAATACAAAGTTTTAAATTGGACTGCACTATATTGTAAGGTGTTTGTAATATTTTGAATCATTAAAATAAGTAAATGAGGTGATCAAAGTGTAAGCACTAGAAAAACTGATTTTAGCAGAACCTATCAACATCTGGCCAATGGCTGTGTGTTTACCTTTTAGCATTGGTTAGGCAAATAATTCGACCCCTATTGGCAACTCTTTCAGCGGTGTCCATCAGAGCGGTGCGTCTCTCGTGCTGCAACTCTGTGATCTTGCACAACGACTCCACCGCAGCAACCAGCCCATGCAGGATGCTGCAACACTCGGGGTCCTCACGTGGGTTGGGTGGCCCTACAGCTGCCAGAGCTGACATGAGCTGCCAGAGAGGAAGAGAAGCTGCATAAACACATCGCAACTGTAATTGTGGAGAAGACTTCTGCAAAAATGCGGTAACGATGATCTTCATTGGAAAAGTTGCATCTCTCCAATAGGTGGAAAATCTGAGCTGCTGACAACACAGCTTAAAAATGACATGATAGTCACTGTGAGACATACGGTGCATTAACAGTCATACTGGTGTAATAACTGTTACTGTGTGAGTTTTTATCGGCAGAGGATTACCTCATGAGTGCTCTGGTCTTCCCGCCTCCAGCTATTCAAGATGTGGAACTCTGAATCACTCACAATGTAATTAACCTGTAAAATAAAGGAGGTGGCAGAAAATGTTAATGGCGGTGTTGATGTCATTGATTCACTGTAACTATTTTGGTTAAAAATTTCTAAGCATATCTCATACGTTAGGTTTTCCACTTAGGGACCTTAACTGTCTTTTTACAACAATTTCCAAAATTAAACTTGTTTAGTTGCATCGCAGACTTAAGTGGTGGAGAAACAGCTTTAGCTTAAACTTTTCAGCCCGAGTATAAAATTAAATAAATAAACAGGAAGCTAACCAATTTGTCCCTTGGATAAATATCATAGAGGATCCGACAGTACTCCATAGAGCACTCCACAGCACAGGTCCACAGGGACTTGGACACAGGGGCCAGCGGAATAACCCCTTGACCTCGACTCTTTGTCAGCACATCACACTCCACCTGCTGACGACTTGACTCTGCCATGTAGGGACAATGGTCCACCACAAAGACTGTCTTGTGAGCCACTGAGAACATCTTCCTTTTGCAAATCTGCAGTGTGTGCTGATCTGTTCAAAGACAAAACAGAAATATGCACTAATGTTAAGCTCTGTGTAAATTTGTCTTGCAGTTTTCGTTTCCAAATGCTTAATTTTGTGGTTAAATCGCTATGCCTAATACAAACTGAAATTTTCAATTTCCCTTAGTCTTAAGCCGGGGTAGCCATCTACTAGCAAGAGACTTCTGACAAGTATCCAATCTAAAAAAATCCCACCCCCTCACTTCTAATCTCCATTCCTCCCTCCATTCAAAGCCACTCCCCCGAAACACATTTTCACGTGCAGTAAATGTGTGTGTGCAGGTGAATCATTTCATTTGGACTGAATTAAATAAGTGTCCTAGCCACACTGGATTTTTTTTTATTCCCCCACAGAGCATAGAGAGGAGGATTTATTGATTGCTGTCAATATGTAAAGACAATTTCAACAACTATAACAAAAAACGATTCTGAAATAACTTGCATTCCCTAGCTTTAATCATTATTTAGCAGAGTGTAAACATAAAATATCTAATCCCAATTTCCCTGTATTCTCATTAAGGAATTGTCAGGATTTAGGCTGTCATTAATCTTTGTGACAGTGTAGTCTAAAGTGAGTGAGATCAGCGGATTTAAGACAATCTGGGTGTGAATGAATAAAGGACTGATTAATTGTATTTTTTGTGCCTGCTCATTACGTTATTATACACAATCGGTAATAAAGAAAAATGTTCACATGTATCCCGAAATCTTAAAGCAAAATACAATGTTAAAAAATACACAGACAGTCTAAATAAAATATAATAACCTAGAAGATGGGATCGGATAAATAAATGCATTTACAAACTGCGTAATTAAACGATAAATCCAACAAAACCAAAGCCTGTGTTACACAGTAACGTTATGTTACAAGTATATTGTTATGACAGCGGTCATATTTACGTAAGACAAACATTGTAAAAACATTAGAAACACATCTTATTAAAATATGTACATCCCATTTACCACTAACGTTACTTCAATAACCTGTACGGTAATACAATACGCCTATACTCATGTCTGGGGTTACAATACGTAACCAACGTTATTTGACGTGGTTGCTGGTGGTGGTTAAGGCAATCTCATTTTATATTAACTGTACATAAACTATCATGTTCAACACTACTAAATATTGCCTGTTGTTATGCATAATTAATTCACCAAGAGATACAGTACAGTAGATCCCCCGGTCAAGAAATTAGCTGAAAACAGTTGCTGCTCTCTTTAGGTCAAGTGTTCACCAATAGACGAGCTATCTGACTACAAAACGAAACAGAACCAAACAGTCTCAGGACATGTTATTTACCAACAGCTATACTCGTTATCAAGCTAACATGACTAGTTGCCGAAGGAGCATGTCACCGACAGAGCGTTAGCCTTTTAGCTAACATTAGACGGAATAATTACTTTCATGATTCACGTTTATTAACGACGACGTAAGCACTTACCCATTGTGGCATTTGTGTGATATGTTCTATTAAACCCACTTCAGAATGACCATTACCTTACTATTTTAGATATTTGGAATAGACTTTGAATGCTAGCGCAAACAATACATTTAGCCTGTTACAAGCTAGCTGGTTTGTTATTGGCGGAAACATGTCCAGTGGTAGTCCTTCATAGACTTCCTTCCCCAAGTTGCTGAGTCGCGCTGTTGAGTAGTTCCTAGCCGCATTTTCCGCCGTGGTGGTCGTGATTCAGCAACGTTGCGACCCCTATTCCGTTAGGGGAAATGCAAAACTTTATTGTCTGTTATTCAGCAAACGGGTTAATATATTTCGTGATCATACAGATGTCAAATACAAGATCAAATGTTTTGCTTGAGGCGAAACCAAGAAACCGACTTTTCCACACATCGTTCTGCTCTAAGTTAACGTCTAACGCTCAGCAGGGAGAAGTCTGTGGAAATACTGGTTTTAAACGTTGGCTTTAGCACCAGGCAAACATGTTATTATTACGGACAGACAGCTGACATCTATGCGATTACGAAAATATTTTAAGTTACAACACGCCGCAGGTTATGGTCCTAAGTGCAGAGGCCGTTAGACGTCTCCTGAATGCCAAATCATCTCAAACTAAAGTAGTTCACCATAGCTTAAAAATATGCAGTTTGTTTTGGAGAAACCCTCAACATGTAAAATATACTGCACGAAAAGTAAAAAAAATAAAAAATTCCATATAGACTACTCTTAAATGCCTCATGTGTGCATGCGTTCATTAGAATCCAAAACACTTGTGACACGCGTGACATCATCTGTCTCATGTGGCCGAACAACATCGTCCTCCTTCTTCTCCTCCGCCTACGACTCCACTATGGAGCTAGAATTGTGTCTTTATTACATGCGAGAAAATAAATGATCTGAGAGAAAAAAAAACGTTTGAGAGAAAAAGTTATCACACTGATAACAAGCATTTCATGAGAGAAAAAAGAATATTTGAGAGATAGCAAAAAATAATAATATTTGAGACTAAAAAAAGTTTTGAGAGAAAGTATTTTATCATAGAACATAAAAAAATATTAATTTTTAATTTTTAAAATTATTTCTGAGAAAAAAAATCTCTCTCAAAATACTTTGAAAAAAAACCTCAAATATATATTTTTTTCTATCAGTGTGAAAACATTTTCTCTCAAAAAGCTTTTCTTTGCTCTCGATGCAATTTCTTGCTCTCATGTCAGGATTTTGCTTTCGCTGTGAAAATTGTGTCATGGGCGGGGCCACGTTCGTAATGACCAGTCGGGTGAGTATCGTCTTGTCTTGGGAGTCTAACTGAACCATTACACCATTGTTCGGTTCACCTAGATAGATGCCGGTGTGACAGTTTAATTGGTGGCAAAAATTAACTGGTGATAGTCCCAGATGTGCATCGAGAGCAAAGAAAAGCGTTTTGAGAGAAACACTTTTTTTTTTAGAGAAATAGAAATAATTTTAAAAATTAAAAATTAATATTTTTTTATGTTCTATGAGAAAATACTTTCTCTAAAAACTTTTTTTAGTCTCAAATATTATTATTTTTTGCTATGGGTATGAAAACTTTTTCTCTGAAATATTCTTTTTTCTCTCATGAAATGCTTTTTTGCTATCAGTGTGATAACTTTTTCTCTCAAACGTTTTTTTTTTCTCTCAGATCATTTATTTTCTCGCATGTAATAAAGACACAATTCTAGCTCCATACTTGACTCCACCCTTTTTATCTCCATTCTCACAAGTCTCAACTTGACCAAAACTTTAAGCTAAATAAATGCTGAGAACTATAACAAGAATCCGCGGAGGGCGGGCCGCGCTTTAAAGCTGCTGTGAGAACGGCTACAGCAGGGATTGTACAGTTGTTTGCTCTCGGTGGTGTGTCTGGAACCCCCGACAAGGATTACAATATGAGCAGCAACGACAGATTTGAGATGGACTCCATGAATGAGACAGAGGACGAGGGTGATCCTCAATACGGCATGATTGAAGAGCAAGTTGGTGAGAGGACTCTGTCATTCACAGGAGATCTGCTGTGTTGGTGTGAATGTTGTGTGATTTCCAGCTATAGACTTCTGTAGCCCATATCTTTCTACAACAGTTATCTCTGGGCAAGTTAACGCCTGTGAATCTATTCATATTATATTTAATAGTTCAAACACTTGTGTTTTAATGGGTATAACTTAATTTATTTTACATTTATTTTAAAGTGGTGGATCATAATCAAGGACATTTACTCTTGTTATATTTAAGTAACGTTACACTTTTGAGATGCTTTCCCCTTTTTTTTCCGCAACTAACTTCTGCATCACTACACTGAAAAAAAAAAGCCCTGAAAAAGAAAAAGTGCTGTAATTTCATAATGCTACTCATCAGTGTTGAAAGTAGGCTAGTTAAAATTTGCTTCATCAAAATGTTACACGTTACACCAGTTATAATAATCCAACAATCCAGTAATAATATATGATAATATAACACAACGTTTTGCTGCCTAAAGAGTGCTTGAACCTCTACTGCATTTTTTTTTATTATACTATGTAAGTTACTTGAGTAACATTTTGAATGCAGCACTTCTACATATAAGAATCATTTTACACTGTTCTGATAATTTTTTTCTAAGATCAGCTTGAAATGAATGGTGCATGATTTCCCTACTGGGCATAAATACAATATTGTTGGCCCATTTCTGTTATGACCACTAGGAAACATGGCCCCTTTGCTTTGCCATCTTTAAAGGATAGGTGACAATATGATCAAAAAGCCAGGAGTATAGGAGTCTGTTTAACGTCATGCACATGGCACGTGGGGCACAACAACCAATGGGGATGTGTGGTGCACATATTTTTAAGAGGGCACAAGATCACATCACCCATATCTGCAATACAGAGATTAAAAATATATTAAGACAATCGTTTGTTTAAAAGAACCCCCCAGAAACAGCAACAATCCCTGATGTGGCTGCTTTAAAGGCTACAACTTTAGAGGCTAGAGTTGATCTAGGCCAGGCTAAAATCCACTTTTTTGTTCCTTGCTTACATTCCTGATGGTAAAAACTGACACTATAACTTAAAATGGGACTAAAATAATAGAAACCTACAGTAGTATATTGCAGTGTCTGGACAGCTGTCATGCTTGTATTTTATGAGACTGATTTGTCAGTCTTTAGGCTCCTTTGTGTCTTGTCCTCAATGATGTACTCTAACACAGTATTTATGAGGCCCTCGCCATATAGAAATGATCAGTACATTCACAGTGGATGACAAAGGGCATGATCTATTTAATGGAGCCTATATTTTCTTGTAAATCATTAATGTTCACATTTAGTTGCAACATGTAATGGTATGGTAACAGCAGAGAAACACAGAAGGCTCAGATAATGCTTTTACAGTTTGTTTCAGGTTAATAATATAATAAATGAACACCATTGTAATACAGGAAGTTATGTACCTACTACTGTTTGCCAGGGTTACTGTAGGTCAGTGCGTATTAGGGAGAGAGCTGTTGAAAATGAAAATGAATCATCAGCGGTCATGCAAAACATACAACTGTGAATACTGAAGCATGATCTTACAGCTGATTCTGTTCCTGTGAAAGAGAGTACACAAATTTTACCAAACGTCATGATATGCCCCAGGCCTTAATGCAGAAAAGAACTTCCTGTCAGAGGAAGGACAAAGCTGTGACTTGCATTAAACTTAAAGAGTTAGTATCCTGTTAGCCATAAGGTCAAATAAAATGTGTATCATGCACCTTTATGCTGCACAATTATTCTTTTTAAAATTCCAGTTTCTGTTAAAGAATGCTGTTTTTTTCTGTTTAGTCTGTTTGTATTATTCTGTGTGTTGGTATGGGGGATGTTCTCTAGAGAGGAAGTGAGCACTGGGTGGGTTGAGGCGAGAAAGGAAGAAGAGTTTCAGTGCAGACAGCTTCATGGCATAGATTCAACATGCTTTTCAAAAGAATCATACTTACTGACTCACTGTAGGTTGCAAAGATTTCGTTGGGTTAAATGACTCAGTAACTGGTGCACTTTTTATTTATTTTACAGACCACAGTGGTGATATACTGATAAAAGCAAAACACACGGCAATCATATCCTCATATACATTAGATCCTTACCCTACACGTGACATTACAGTGATGATACAGTTTACTGTGAGTATTCAGGCCTGCAATAAGTCAGTGTAAAAAGGTGGATTAACAGTGAGCCAGCTGCTAATAAAGTTTTTGTATCTATCCTTCTTTGTACCATCTTGTTCACAAGTGAGATCATCAGATATTAATAAGCCAGGCTGTAAGATTCCAGCAGGTTACCAATAAGTAAAAATAGCAATATCCTATGGCACAGTTAGTAGGGATTGGCGGTTAATTTGTTCCTGGTTCACCAGCTTGTCTTATGAGAAAATGCTTTCAGACTTTGTAGCATAACAGGCTTTGTTGGTGTTCAGACTGTTAGGCTGGTACAGTCAAAGGAAATACTTATTTGAAGAGCAGTGATTCCACAGTTAAGTTTCCCAGGCTGTTACTATGGCCCGTGTTTTGAAAACAACATCTGTCTTCAGTTAGTTTCCTCATAGTGCTCTGCTGTACATGGAAAGATTACAGGACTTTCCATATTGGACGTGGTGTCATCTTTTTTGGTATAAAAAATGCATAATTTATAATACAACTATGAGTCATAACAGCGCATACAGAAAATACTGTTTTTGTTTGTTTAGTTTTGATGTGGTCAGTGGGGAGAACACAGAATGCAGATTTGTAAATTGGAAAAAAACACTGAAGTGCAAACTGTAAATGGGCATTGATCACATTGCAGTACATGGTGATTGCAGTAAGTCTATGTTTGTTTTCTTTTTCCCGGGAGTTATGTAGTGTTGTGGTGAGTGGTCAGTTGTGTGCAAGCAGTAAAAATGCAGCAACACCAGCATGACGTCTGGAGAAACAGGCATGTAACAGGGGACTCGCTGGTTCAAACCATAGTTTCAAACCCACAGACTGTTTTGCTAATGACTTACCAGTGTGTGCTGCTTCAGTGAGCACCATGAGGCAGAGCATGAATGTTGGCCTGGCCGGATTCCAGGTGTGAGTGTATTAATGTGAAGTGAAGCTGGGACATTAAGAAAGTGTATGGTCAAATAAAGATAAAAAAAAAACAGCCATGCAAGCAGCCCTGTGAGGCTGCACTTAGCTAATGTCAACATGCTAACATGCTCGCAATGACACTGCAGGTTTGTTTCCCTTAACGCTAAACTCACAGTACAGCTGAGGCTCATGGGAATATCATTAGTTTTACAGGTCACAAACCTATTAGTATTGGATAAATGAAAATTAAAACTTAAAAGACAGACCTAAATTACTACACATGGGGCCCCGCCACTAGCATGGCTAAAACATTACTTTTTCATCTCTTGCACAATAAAGGTTACAAAGACGGTTTCAAAAAGGTTTTGGTCAATATTGAAAGCCTGACTGATGCTGGATTTTTTAGGCTAATGTTATATCAATACTTAAAACTAATAACAATCTAATAACAATCCTTCAGCAGCTCTTGTTTTTAATTTAACATAAGTGTGTCGTACTTGCTGTGTCACTTAGCTTCTGATTAGCTAAGTTGTGGTTTAGATCTGGCTCAATTAAACCTGAGCTTTAGAGAGTTTAAAACATGGCGGAGTGCTACAGTAAGTTGGACCTGGTCGCTCTGGTTGAAGCACAGCTTCAGCTAGGCCTGTTAAACCGGATGTATGATGATACAACCCTGTAGGGCTTGCCCCACATAGTGATTCAGAGCAGTGCCACATAATAATGCAGTTTCAGCTCTCAGCTTTCTGGCGTTCTAGTTCAGCTGACCAGATCATAACTATACCTTCTATAAATGGAAGTTAGAAATACAGACAGTTTACAGGTGGCTTAGTTTGTCAGATATCTTGTTGCTGTGTTCTTACACAATATTACATTAGTTTGGCACTTATGACAGTGTTGCTTTCTTACATGGGAAATAAAATTTTTACTTTTAGAAATGGATAAGTGGACGGAGCTGTAGAAATCTGCAGCTAAGCTTATGACAGAGCAAAGAGATTTTACAATTGAACAATAAACCTCATTGTCAGAAATGATAGTAACAGTAAAAGTAAGATAAGAAAAGTTTTAATCTTACTTTTATTTTTTGATATATGCATAAAATTGCTGACAGTAAGCCTAAACCTTTTTGTATACCTAAACATAAATAATTCCATATCAGTGATAACAACATGATATTGTAACATCAGACTGATAATGTATTAGTTTTGTGTTTCTTTGATTATTATTATCATGCCTTTATTCACATTTTTGCTTTGTGTCTGTTTCTCACAGTTTACCCCGAGGAGTTTTTACCAACATACCATAGCATAAGTATTAAAGAAGGAACAGTAACCAAAGCACAACTGGTGAGTCTACACAATAATATTGTAGTCAGCTGCTGCAGCATATAAATCAAATGTTCTCTATGTGTACACGGTGTAGATTGGCAGATTGGTGGTTTGAACTAATTTATTAAGTCATACTGTGAAAATTGAAGCCAAAATAATTTAGCATTTCATAAGCTTTTCTCATGGCACACTAATTTAGTTTACAGAAGGCAGATACTGAAGTCACTGGATCGTGCATGTAGTTACATGTCCTTGCAAGAGCTTCATCAATACCTATTTGTGTGGAGAGAAAGAGAGAGAGAGCTGAAGGGCGGGTATCATAATGTTTGTTAACGCTTCCCACTTCTCCTGCATAACCAAAATTACACGTTAAATAGGCTGGTCAAGGTTATTATCTCTGCGCTGATCGTCTTTGCACAGGCCAGTCATCATGTACGACATCATGGAGGAAGAGGGGTACGAGTTTCATGCCGTAGAGTTACCAGATAAACCTTATTTTTGCCTTCAGACAGAGTTTAATAACAAACCCGACTCCTTGTTCTTTAATGATGGCGTGAGGAGGATCGACTTCATCCTGGTCTATGAAGATGAGGACAAGAAGGACTTTGAGAAGAGGCACACGTACCAGCGGCGCAAGGTGGGTCATTTTAAAATAATTTTGAGTTGGTTGGTTTGGTATATGTGCAAGTATTTCAAGTAATGCAGATGATGCTGACATAAAACTTAGTGCAAAGTAATCTACTTACAAAAAGTAGCCGTCTCTAAAAGGTTATATGTTTTGGGTTTTATTAGTGTTTTTTAGATTCAGCATCCCAAATCCCCAAGCTACTACAACACTGAAATGACAATAAAGGACAATTAAGTATAGAATCCTAAAGTCAGAGTTTTTACATTAAGATTTGGTGGCACTAACATGCTCTTAATGAATAACATACTATTTACATGAATGGAAATTATAGCATTCAAAAAATAACTTAAATTTAACATCATATTTACTCAGTAATAGTCTATTGATGACATGAATTGAGTGCAAAACAAATTCATTATAGCGCAAAGAAGATATAGAAATTCGTTATTACCTCTAATACCAATCCATGAAATATCTTGTTGAATATGATATGCCTTGTATGTTTTATTACAAATACTAACCGTATTGACTCTTGCCTATTTGCAAAGGGAGGTTTTATTTGCAACTGGATGAGAGTCTATGTAAATTAATTTCCATTGCCAGTGGATATTCAGCACAGTGTGCACTGTAAAGCTTTTACCTTTAATTATCCAGGAAAGCTGAGCATACATTGTTTGTATAGTTCCTTTCTATTGTACGTCACATTCATTCAACACACGTTCTAATTTATCTGTACAGCTGCCGGCCACGTTCCCTGAGGGAAGCTGTGGAAGTGAAGAGTGTTACTCCTTCACTTAAACCACCAAAACCGTGTCAAGAAAATTCAAATCACCTCGGTCTCCCAGTCTAAACTTAAACTTTGTCTAATGTTATTGTCTTCTGAAATCTGAAACCGTCACAAAACAAAAAATTCAGTTGGCATATGATTGAACAGAGTAAAGCAAACGGTTAGTTCTACTTTTTTACACATCTCAAATCTAAATTTCAGTTCAGGGATTGAAGTGTAAAAAAAGGCACAAATTTAAGGACACTAAGGCATAAATTGACATACCAAGGTGTGTTCTTTGTTTCTGTCAGTGTCTTTCACAATGTGTTTACTGTGAGGGATGTGTAATACAATGTTTGGAAATACTGTATATCCACATACTGTTCCCTGCAGTGTTGCAACCGTAACACAAGTGTGGCTAAAATCATAAATCATTAATTGGTAAATGGGTTATAGAGTTAAGTCTTTGATGATGATTTGATGCTAGTCTTACTCATATATGATAGCATGAATGGAGGTAATGGTTATAGGCAGAAGACATGTCCTGCAACTCTCAGAAGCACATAATGTACGTAGAAGGTGATCAGCCAGTTCCTGGGAAAAGTCAGGCTGTAAGAGCTGTTGTAAGTCAGAGCTCTTGAGCTTCTTCACCACAGATGGCAAATCCTTGTTCATAATGATCCCAGAGCAAATTAAATCCGGTCAGGGATGAGCGGTGCAACAGTCTCTACCAGGCACTCCCTCTTTTGTTTTTCAAGAACCAACCAAACTGGGATCAAACAGAAGTTGCAAAACCCCTTTTCCGCTCTAACACTGTCTGCTTGAAGGGTGCAGTTTACTTCTGATGGTGTTAAATTGTTAGCTTAAAACAATGCTAAATTAATTGATGTTTAAATATTTGATTATGTTGGTGTAAATTTTCATGCAGTTGTGGTAGTTCCTGTGTGTCATGAAAGCAGTTCAAGTCAAGGTATTTAACTTTGTTTTGTCAACGGTCCTTAGAATGGGACTGACATAAGAGGGTTCAGTGAAACTGTTGCCTTGGATAATAATGAGCCCAACTAATCAAATAACTCATCAAAAAGTTTAAAAAGCAGTTGGAACAAGAAGGTTTAATAATTTAATTTATTGTACCTGCGCTACTTTCTCTGTTATTTGAATACATTTCACACCTTTTTATACTAAATCAGGGCTTTTGTCAGGTGTGTTTTTGGTTTTGGGAAAGCTGTGTAGCAGTTGAAAGCGTATATCCGGGATTCAGTTCACTGTAGCGCTATATTTGACATGACATGCTTGCAAACAAGATCCTGCTCTGACTTGCTTGCAGTAATCATTGCCACTATGTGCAGTGTAAATAACGCCTGTGTCATGAAAATGGAATGAGCTGTCAACTCCAAAATATGCTTTAAATAAACATAATTAAAGGTCTTCTTTATCTTAAAACGACAGTATTGAAAAAATTAGATCACATAAAGGGTATCAAGGTGATAATGTACAGTACGTATAGGCAAAATGGGCACAGTCTTTATATGAAATGCTACAATATAAATAATTATTGGGCTTTGTTGTGTCATCCTTGACATTTGTTCTGTCTCCCCTCTATAAAGTCATATAAACGGATCTAAATTGAATGTCTCTGGCAGACAGATCCCTTCATGTAATACATCTGGTAGAGAAATGGAATCATAATGCCAGAGAACAGGGACGGGAATTAAAACCAGAAGCTCATTGAAACTCTTTTCTGTGTTCTCCTCTGTAGAGACGGCGCGAGTTCTTTGAGGCCAGCCTGATGAAGATGGGAATGGAGCTGGAGGCAACACCATCTGTAAATAGATTGCACACCTTTCTGGAAGGTTTCTTGCACTGTATCTCCTGCTTAAAACGATCCGTCTTTGTGTTCTGCAGGTGCTAGATGACAAACTGCTGTTTGTGAAAGTCCACATGCCGTGGGAGGTTCTGTGCACCTACGCCGAGGTCCTGCACATCAAGCTTCCCATCCAGCCCAACGACCTGTCCTCCCGCCCCTCCCCTTGGCGCTTTTTGTCCTGCATCACCAAGCACTTCTACCCCAACGAGGACCTGATCAGCAAGGAGTCCGAGTTCTTCACAGCCCCCTTTGAGAAAGGTCGCCTGGAGTTCTTTTACATGAAGGACAAAGACAACTTCTTCACGCCGTCCATGAGGAGCAGGATGGCAAGTTGTCTCATGTCGTTGCAGTCAGTTTGGGCTGCCTGCATGTTCTTTTCATATTTCAGATTAAAGATAATACGACCACTAAGGTTTAAATCCTGTTCTTCCTCTAGGCAAATTACATCCTGAGTCGTGCTCCCTATGAAATAAGAGGGAGCATAAAGAAGTTTGGCATCACTAAACTGCTGGATGGCGGAGTGTACAAAGCAGCCTATCCCCTCCATGACGTAAGCGATTCCCCTTTCTTCTTACGCATACGTGTTTTATTTAGACAGTACGTTTTGTCTTTCATTGAACCCCCATGTGAATGTTGTCACAGTCATATTAGCTGTGGTATATGTTGTTTATAGTTTATAACAATGAGATTTGGCATGGTTTTAAGCTATTAGTGAACAAAACATTTACTGAAAATATGATTTATCTCCCTGTTGGCTATTTCAGTGCAGGTTCAATGTCAAGTCAAAAGAAGAGGGCTGCCCCAACGAGAGATATCTGCTCTATGAAGAATGGGCTCACCCCAAAAGCTTCTACAAAATGCAACCACTTGACCTCATAAGGTGAACACGATCATTTAAACTGAAACATCTTTGGTCGTATGTTTTGTTAATTAAAATAAGGGTTCTGTTCAAGCAGGAACAAAAACTTGTTTTCCGAAGTGAGCAGTAGAGCTACAGTAATAATCAAAGTTTTTTTTCACAGGAAGTATTATGGGGAGAAGGTCGGCATTTACTTTGCCTGGTTGGGTTTCTACACAATGATGCTCGTTCTGGCTGCTGTCGTGGGACTGGGCTGTTTCATTTATGGATACAGGACCCGAGACACCAGCACCTGGAGGTACATTTCCTTGTGGACACTCCCGAAAATGGTCCCAAGACATTTTGAATGATGGACTTGTAAATAAATTACGTATATAAAATTTTGGAGACACATTATTAAACTACAACAAGTCCTCATTATGCCTATTTTTCACCCTGCTGTTTATGTTTGCTTCATTTTTATAGATTTCACCCGTCTAATCCCCTAATTATATTGTTTGTTCTGTGTTTAAAATACTGCAGCAAGGAGGTGTGCGACCCTAAGATTGGAGGGAGTATTGTGATGTGTCCACAGTGCGACAAGGAATGTACATACTGGTTTTTGAACAGCACCTGTGAATCTTCCAAAGTGAGTTTTATTTGAATTTGAAAGTTTGTACAATGTGTTTGTCCTCCTACTGAAGGCTCTCAATATGAAATGGACAAAACAGAGAATTTGTGAAAGGTGGTATTATGCTTTTTGGCCTTTTCCCTCTCCTTTATTGAGTTATATACCTTTTTTGTGCTTGTAATAGGTTTGCAAATTGAAAAAGCCCAAAGTCCAGCCCAAAGGGAGTTCCCATCTCCCACAGAAAACACTGCTCTGAACTGCTTGAAAACAGCTTGTTTGTAGTCCAGCTGTTTCCCTTTGATGAAAGGATGAAAGCCAAATGCACGTAATATAACGCTCGCCAAGCAGCTACTCCGAAACGCCCTCTCTGCTTGTGCTACTGTTACGATATGTGTTAGCATTTAACTTGATTCCATAATTGTCATTTGAAGCCACACGGGTTCTGCAAAGTTTACAAAGGCTTTTCTGAAAAATTCAGTGGCAGAATGTCCATATTTAAATGTGTGTTTCTGATGTATTTTTTAAATTTATTTAGCCTCACTAAGAGCAGCCTCTCATTTACAGGAAGGCCCTGATCACATTCACACTGTTACGCATTCACACCTGGAAGCTGCCCAGTACAACTGCAGCCTGGTCTGCTGGCCACAAAGCAGGTTATGGGCCCTCAGTGGTGGTAAATGAGGGAGGGCTAGCACCCAGATATTTTCCCCAGTCCGGGGATTGAACTGTAACCTTTGGGCCACCACTACCCAATGTTATCCCCAGGTGCATAGTAACAGTTGTGTTTTGAACTAACTTGCGTGTGAGCAGCAGAGAACTGTAACAGTTTTGACCTCCATGTTTCTCTTTTTTCTCCATCTTTGTAGAAACTTTGTATATTTGATAACTTCGGAACCCTGGTATTTGCTGTTTTTATGTCAATCTGGGGTAAGTCTCACAATTTTCATGAAACACTACAATTTGAAATTTTGATTTTGTTCTCATCTATGGCATTATTCTAGATAGAATTCTATATATTTTTACATAATTTAGTGTACATACTGTATATCACAAAAGTGAGTACATCCCTCACAATTTCTAAATATTTGATTAAATCTTTTCATGTGACAACACTAAAGAAATGACACTTTGCTACAAAGTAAAGTAGTGAGTGTACAGCTTGTATAACAGTGTAAATTTGCTGTCCCCTCAAAATAACACATCACACAGCCATTAATGTCTAAACTACTGGAAACAAAAGTGAGTACACCCCTAAGTGAAAATGTCCAAATTGAGCCCAATTAGCCATTTTCCCTCCCTGGTATCATGTGACTCATTAGTGTTACAAGGTCTCAGGTGTGAATGGGTAGCAGGTGTGTTATATTTATTGCTCTCACACTCCCTCTGGTTCTGGTCACTGGAAGTTCAACATGGCACCTCATGGAAAGGAACTCTCTGAGGACCTGAAATAAAAAGAATTGTTGATCTACATAAAGATGGCCTAAGCTATAAGAAGACTGTCAAGACCCTGCAACTGAGATGCAGCATGTTAGCCAAGACCATACAGCGGTTCAACAGGATAGGTTCCACTCAGAACAGGCCTCGCCATGGTCGACCAAAGAAGTTGAGTGCACATGCTCTGCGTCATATCCAGAGGTTATCTTTGGGAAATAGACGTATGAGTGCTGACAGCATTGCTGCAGAGGTTTAAGGGGTGGGGGGTCAGCCTGTCAGTGCTCAGACCATACGCTGCACACTGCATCCGTATGTTCTGCATGGCTGCCGTCCCAGAAGGAAGCCTCTTCTAAAGATGATGCACAAGAAAGCCAGCAAACAGTTTGCTGAAGACGAGAATACTAAGGACATGGATTACTGGAACCATGATAAACTTATTTGGTTCAGATGGTGTCAAGCGTGTGTGGCAACCAGGCGAGGAGTACAAAGACGAGTACAAAAGTGTGTCTTGCCCACAGTCAAGCATGGTGGTGGGGGTGTCCTGGTCTGGGGCTGCATGAGTGCTGCCGGCACTGGGGAGCTACAGTTCATTGAGGGAACCATCAATGCCAACATGTGCTGTGACATACTGAAGCAGAGCATGATCCCGTACCTTCGGAGACTGGGCCGCAGGGCAGTATTCCAACATGAAAACGACCCCAAACACACTTCCAAGACGACCACTGCCTTGCTAGAATCTGGGGTAAAGGTGACGGACTGGCCAAGCATGTCTCTAAACCCTATTGAGCATCTGTGGGGCATCCTCAAACGGAAGGTGAAGGAGCGCAAGGTCTCTAACCAGCTCCGTGATGTCATCATGGCAAAGTGGAAGAGGACTTCAGTGGCAACCTGTGAAGCTCTGGTGAACTCCGTGCCCAAGAGGGTTAAGGCAGTGCTGGCAAATAATGGAGTCCATACAAAATATTGACACTTTCATGCCAGTTTGGACATTTTCACTTAGGGGTGTACTAACTTCCGTTGCCAGTGACATTAATGGCTGTGTGGTGGATTATTTTGAGGGGACAGCAAATTTACACTTTTATACAAGCAGTACACTCACCACTTTACATTGTAGCAAAGTGTCATTTCTTCAGTGTTGTCACATGAAGACATAATGAAATATTTAGAAAAATGTGAGGGGTGTCTTCACTTTTGTTTGACGTGTTTATGGAGAAAGACGCAGACAATACTGTGTACTGGTATATTGTGTTTCTTCTTTGCTTATTGTCCTGCTTGTTTTTTCCTGTTCATTTCCTGGCTGTAGTAACTTTGTTCCTGGAGTTTTGGAAGCGACACCAGGCAAAGTTGGACTATCAGTGGGACACTGTGGAGTTTCTGGAGCAGGAAGAGCCACCTCGCCCAGAATATGAAGCCAAGTGTGTCTACGAGAGGAAAAACCCTATCACAGGGGTAAATCACACACACAGACTTTAGTCTGGTTACCTTTGTATACCATAGTCAGAAAACTGTTTTAGTATTTAGATATGTGGTCACAAAACAGAAAGTAAAACCTTTAAGATGGGTTTTAAATATATTGCAACCAGATTTTTTTCAGATTTGTTTGAAAGGTAATATTTAGAGAAACTTTGTTCAAAAAAGTTTGTTTTATGTATTGTCATGTTGTTGGTTAAAGTTCAGTATTTCATAGTGTTTTGTGATTTAGGTAAAAGAAAGTGTGCCATATACACCCTGTGGACGATGTGTTCGGGTGTCGATAGGAATTGGGACAGTGTTATTCTGGGTAATGTAAATTAATGCCATTTTTATTTCAATTAATTTCATCTTGCTAACACTTTATTTTACCAGTCTGTAATTTGCCAACAATATTCTAAGCAAACAAACAAATATACACGTTAACCTTTTAATTGCATTTTGTTCTTTAGATTCTGTTGATAGTGGCGTCCATTGTGGCCGTCATTGTCTACCGCCTGGCTGTATTTTTTGCCTTCTCTGCTCAACTCAGAGCTCAGGACCTGAAGAAGCTGGAACCCTTAAAGGAGTATGTGACACCTCAGATGGCCACTTCTGTCACCGCCTCCCTCATCAGCTTTGTTGTAATAATGACGCTCAATATTCTATATGAGCGGGTCGCCGTATGGATCACTGACTTTGGTGAGTTGGGATTGTACTTCTGCCCTTTCCCGACTTGAACCTGGTTTAATCCTTAATCCTTTCTTATCTGAAACACAATAACAGAGCTTCCGCGGACCAAGACAGAATACGAGAACAGCTTGACCCTGAAGATGTTCCTCTTTCAGTTTGTCAACTATTACTCCTCTTGTTTCTACATCGCCTTTGTCAAAGGAAAAGCGGTTGGCTATCCCGGGAAGCCTGTTTATCTCCTGGGACAGTTCCGGAACGAGGAGGTACAGCTTGTCCATCTAGATGTCACATTTCTAAACTACGCACATGTTATTTTTGACTCTTGCTTTGTGTCTTATTGTCCTGCAGTGTGATCCTGGCGGTTGTCTGATGGAGTTGACAACTCAGCTCTCCATCATCATGGGTGGAAAAGCCATCTTGAACAACATCCAAGAGGTCTTGATACCGTAAGAAGTCAGAATCTAAGTAAACAAGTAATACAATTAAGTAACATAATGGCAGCTTATATATGTAGCTTGTCTCCATAACAGAGGACATAAGTAAATTTGCTGCTTACAACAGGTGTCAAGGCCATAGCTAATCATACACCAACTCATCAATGTCATATTGAGTTACTGTTTGATTTCTTCCACCCCTACACAGGTGGGTCAAGAATTTGATTTTCCGCTACTGCACCCGGACTTCAGAGAAGGTGATCCCTCGCTGGGAGCAGGACTATGAGCTCCAGCCTGTTTCAAAACTAGGACTCTTCTATGAATATCTTGAGATGGGTAAGAAGAAAATAAAAGTCTTCTTTGTTTTTTCTGCCACATAACAAAGAAGAATAGAGCTGCACGCATGAAGCCGGTTGCACATGCTTCTTAAACCGACTTGTACTTTACCAAGGTTTTTACTAGTTAAGACATTCTGATGATGCGCATAACAAGCAAGAGATATATAAATACACTGTATGGACAAAGGTACTAGGTAACCTACACATTACTTGTATGAGATCCCATTCAAAATCCAGCTATAACAGCATCCGCTCTTTTAGAAAGGCCTTCTACAAGATTTTTTTTAAAAATGTATGTTTTTCTTACAGTCATCCAGTTTGGCTTTGTGACCCTGTTTGTGGCCTCCTTCCCTCTGGCTCCCGCCCTGGCTCTGGCTAACAATGTGTTTGAGATTCGAGTTGATGCTTGGAAAATCACCACTCAGTTTCGCCGCAACGTGCCAGAGAAGGCCCAGGATATAGGTGCCTGGCAGCCAATTCTTCAAGGCATCGCCATCTTGGCTGTTGCAACAAATGTAAGTTACCACTACTGTGACAATAGCGGTAATGATCAATTTTCTGCTTTCAATATATTGACTTGGTTGTTTGGTGTCTCCACAGGCCATGATCATTGCTTTTACATCAGACATGATTCCACGCTTGGTCTACTACTGGTCTTTCTCTATGTACCCATATGGAGACCATGCCAACCACACCATGGAGGGCTACATCAACAGCTCTCTGTCTGTATTCAACATCAACGACTTCTCCAACAAGAGCCAGCCTCTGTACTCTTACAACATCACCACCTGCAGGTACAAATATTTGCCCATCTGTGTGTGCTGGAAAGAGAGAACCATGTCTGAGTTTTCACTTTAACATCATCATTTCTTTTTTTTTTTTTTTTTTTATAGAACGATAGCTTGCACAATTAAAACAAATGTGAATACTTTTACATTCAGTTTTGGTTACAAAGGTCTTTCCTAGACTTTAGAATATTATGCATTTTTTATACATGAAGGGACACATATGATTCCACTTAATTTTAAAGATGCTATTGGTAATATTCATGTGATTAATTATTCCCTAAACATATGTATAAAACATTGGGAAAGACAAAACTCTACTACTACAGCAGTACTACATACTACTGTGAAACTTGGATTGCATTTGAGCAGAGATAGTGGTGTGATGGGGAAAAAAATACAACTTCGTCATATGCATGCACTTGAACAGAAATAAGATTGGATGGTGAATCATTAGATACTCATGTCAGGAGAAGTTGTGTAGAATGTCTTTTTTGTGTGCTGAAGGAAACTATTTGTTTTTTAGGTATCGAGATTTTCGGCATCCTCCTGGCCACCCCAGGCAGTATGAGTTCAACGTCTACTACTGGCATGTGATCGCTGCCAAAATGGCTTTTATAATCGTCGTAGAGGTAGGTATGAACATAAAAGGAAATCTCCCTAACTGGAACAAAATATTACAAAAACATATTAAAAAATATTAATGGAGCTGTCTTCTTCTCCTCACAGCACATTGTTTACTTTACGAAGTTCATCCTGTCCTACATGATCCCAGACGTCCCGTACGCTGTCAAAGAACAGATAAAACGAGAGAAATACTTGACCCAGGTTGTCCTCCATGAGACCAAGCTCAAGTTGGTGACCAAACGTTTGAAACCAGTCTACGACGAGACTGTCGAGAACATGGAGGTGAACGCGCCGAAGGAGGAGTTGGAACTTCATTTCTGAATGTAGATGAAAATGTGTAGAAGAGGAGATGAGACCTTCCTGGGTCTGTCACATGTTCATCCCTGACACTGTATACTGACTATCCAGTTTTTTTGCAGCACCTGCACAAATTAGAAGTTGACATTTTTGGGGGGAATCCTGTGGGTCACGAGATTACTGTGGCATTTCCATGGAACATGAGTCAATTTCACTATTCATCACGGGACTGGGACAGGACAGGGAAAAAAAGTCAATGGGAGCAGACATAAAAAAAATGCAGTCTATTATAAATAAAAGCCTTTTTTTAGATTTATTTATTGGGAACAGGATGGGACGGGAGTCATTCTTCCGGGATTGGGCAGCAACAGGATTTTTTTTTTTTTACGCTTTCATGGAAATACAATTTTTGCGGGAGTGGGATGGGACAGGAGTGAAAATCCATTCCAGTGTCACCCACTAACACACATCTCTTTAAATGCTTACCAACACCTTGTGAACAAGTGACAGAATTAAGACCCGAAACAAGGTATGGACTTTTGTTATAGAAAATGTGTAGCAACCACTAAGAAAGAAGACGTCTGAAGTTTCCTAAGGGGTCGTTGGATGAAAGAAGTCCAATGACCCAGTGCATGTGTCTTCTCTTACCTGTAAGAGTCTCTTTTCTAGTGAAACTAGGGATGTCAAATCAATGCCTCACACTTTGATACTTCACGTTAAACAGCATCAACCATTTAATGGGTTAAGTATGAAAAACAAACAAAACAATCTCAACTTAATAATAATCCTTATTTGTAGAGCACTTTTCAAAAACAAGTTACAAAGTGCTTTAACAAGTGTAAAGAATAATACAAAAAAAAACAAGACTTAAACTTAAAGGTTCAGTGTTTAAGTTTTAGTGACATCCAGTGGTGAGGGTTGCAAATTGCAACCAACAGCTCACCCCACTCTCCCTTTGCAAACGCTTAGGAGAAAATCTGATTGCTGACACGCTATGTCAGCTCTTGTGTTAACTAATATGTATGGGCCTCCATTTGTCCAAATTTTACGTCTCTTCTTACTTTTGACAACGATGACTTCCATGTTCAACGCAGTGATGAAACTCGCTCTATAGAGTAGTTTGTTTGGGCTACTGTAGAAGCATGGCAGTGCAACTTGGCAACTTCCCTGTAAGAGGACCTGCGGTTTATGCAGATAGAAATGGCGCATTCTAAGGTAAAAAAAACATAATGGTTCATTATGTAAGGTCTTTATTCACCACTGAAAACATAGTCATGTATATTATATTGCATTTCTGTCAGTAGACCCTCCTAAATTTTACACAGTGTGTGTCCACTTACCAGTTTTTTTCCTAGGGCTTCAAATGGTTTTCATCGGCAGATGAAAATTTGTATATTCCTGGAGATGGGTCGGTTGACATGTGAGCCCAGTAGTTTCATTCAAAGCACTTGTAGGACTTCCCATCCATGTTGGCATAAAATGTTAAAAACAGTACATGTTTGGTTGAAAGCTCTGGAAAAAAAGCTAGTGTGTAGATGGATATTTTTACCCCCATAGTGCCTTCCAGTTTTATGACAACATTTAATGTTTAGCTTGGCTATATCAGCAATGCAATGTCTCATTCCATCCACTGAGCTATATGCTGGGGGCTCAAAGCTATCATGTACATGTTACCAGTAAGTGCCCGCTGCCTGGTGATTGTTTTAGTTTCCATCAGTATTATTAGATACACCATTGCACCACTTTCGAATGCAATGTTGTTTTTACACTTTTTCATCTCTATTACTAGAACTAAAGAGCTGTAGTGACGCTCACAATGTTACACAAGTGATGAGATAGCAGGAGTTTGAACAGACAGAGACTAACTGATCGCTACATATACTGACTAAATGTGCCTCACATACCTTTACCTTAAGACTTGAGATGAGATGTTTCAAAAGTTACATTGCTGGCATGCCATGTAAAGGTTTGATGTATGCAAGTTTATGAAACCACAAGAATAATTTGAAACTGAATGCTATTTTATAATTTCACCAAAAGCAATTTAGTTCTATTTTTAATTAAACTATTGATCAGCCCTTTAAAGTAGTTTAGTTGATGTTGTGAGTATAGTCTACCTTTCTTTATGCATGTACTCCCATCTACTTCGCTGTCTTGCACTTTTTAGTTCCAATCATGTGCCATGACCACTGCACTGTACGTTCTGACTGCATGTTATATAATCCTGTGATAAAGGCGATGCAGTAATTTCATGTTCTCCTGTCATTACTGAAATAGATAATCCCTCTGCTGTGCTATTCCCTCATCTTGTGATTTAACCAAGGCACTATAAGCACCATGTATGTAAACAGTAGCAAACAGCTATATCTGATGATGCATATCTGGCTTGTCCTTTTGTTTTATACAAAATATTTTATATATTTTATACTTTAATAGGAATTAAAGATTAAAAAAAACATTTCCACCAATGTGTGTCTTGATGAATATAATCAGAATAAAAAAAAATAGTGATGTCACAGTGAACTGTCCATGCCTGTGGTACACTTCTACATCACGCCAACAAGATGAGAATTAAAACCACTAGAGTTTATCAAAACAAGATTCTTTTTTTTTTTATTCCAACTGAGGTTGTGTTGAGCCAAGACCAGCAACAATGCATTACTACTGAAGCACAAAAACAGCTGTATCATAAACTGTACCCTGGTGACACTTCCCCAATCAACATAACAAGATGGTATGAAATAAAATTAATACATTTCTCTCTTTTCTCTGTAACTCATGAATAACATTATGGAGGAAGAGGAGAACAAAGATACACTCTCAGTGCAAGGACAACTCTATTAGGATGCAGAAAGCTTAATCCATCTGTGTATCTGAATATTTCCATCCTGACTTGAACATGGTTTAATCCTGAATACTTTCTTATCTGACACACAATAATAAAACCTCCACAGACCAAGACAGACTACAATCAGGTTGACCCTGAATATCTCTTCAAATTTGCCAACTATTACGTCTCCTGTTTGTAAAACATCTTCGCCAAATGAAACCTAGCCCCTCCTGCGTGAAATGATATTAGGTCATGATGTTAGAATCTCCATTACTTGCCAGAAACATTCTGCCAGGATGCAAAAAAAACATTCCAGAAAATATAAAAACAAAGCACATGCCTACATGAAGAAGAGCCTACAAGGTCTTCAGAACATTGGGCTGGAATAGCTTGAGTGCCATCACAGGCTATAAAGTTAAAAATAGTAAAGGGTGATTGAAAGGGACCTGAAAAAAGCCAACAAGCTAAACTGGTTATTCGGTAGGTTCAACAAGATGACTGCTGTCTGCCCTTTTTACAAAACTTTACACCTCTTTACTTTTATTTTAGTATTTTATGTACCAGTATTTAACATTGCTATGTATGTAAATACATTAAAGATGCATTTCAGAAATTTTGAATATCGTGTTTTCTGTAATTTAACTCAAAAAGTGAAACTTTAATATATTCTAGATTCATTACACAAAAAGTGAAATATTTCAGGCCCTTTTTTTGTTTTAATATTGATGATGATAGATTACAGCTCATGGAAATCAAAATTTCATATTTCAAAATACTGGAATAAAGAATGTCTAATACAGAAATGTCGACCTGAGAAGAGCCTTTAATCTCAGCCTGGTTCAGTACACAAAACCACAATCATGGGAAGTGGAGTGGGAAGGTTAAAGAGTGGTAGGAAAAGGTGCACAAGCAACAGGGATGACCGCAGCCTTGACAGGGTTGTCAAGCAAAGCTAGCCTCTTCAAGAACTTGGGGAAGCTTCACAATAATAATAATAATAAACTTTATTTGTAGAGCACTTTTCAAAAACAAGTTACAAAGTGCTTTAACAAGTGTAAAGACAATAATACCCAAAAGACAATAATACAAAAACAATACAAGATAAAAGCAAGAAAACATTGAAAAGACTAAAATACACATTTAAGATAAATAAAATAAGTAAAATATAATAAAATAAAAGGTATAAAATAAAGTCAAATAAGATCGGGAAAGGCTCTCCTATAAAAGTATGTTTTAAGAAGGGACTTAAAAGAGTTCACTGACTCAGCCGACCTGATTTCCTCGCGCAGGCTGTTCCAGAGCCTCGGGGGCCTGACAGCAAACTCTCTGTCCCCTTTAGTTTTCAGTCGACACTCTGGAACAGACAACAGACCTCTGCCCGAGGATCTCAAGGTACGTGCTGGTGTGTATGGGACTAAAAGTTCAGAAATATAACAAGATGAGAGGCCATGAAGTGCTTTAAATGTGATCAATAAAATTTTAAAGTCAATTCTAAAACATACTGGGAGCCAGTGTAGTGAAGCTAAAATAGGGGTGATGTGGTCATATGTGGTCAAGGAGTGGACTGAGACTGGAGTCAGTGCATCAAGAGTCACTACGCACAGACATGTCCAGGAAATTAGCTACAAGTGTCACTCTACTAGTGTCAAACCACTCCTGAACCAGAGACAACAAAAATGAACTTTTCCATGATATTCTAATTTTCTGAGATCCACCTGTAGACTATACACAGTATACCCTACAAAGCGTAAAATAGTCAGTTCACTATGTACTGTGTAGACTATATCCAGCATCTTGGAGACATAAAATTCCTTTAGGATGAATAAAGTTACATCTTATTAGACTAATGGTGCATATTAAAGTAATAAAAGCAGGGCCTCTTTTAATACCACTTTCTTCCAAATGTTTTTTTCTTTTCTGGTGAAACAAAGTAAAAGACCGACCAAGATGATAGACAGGATGTTATGTAGCTGGGCCAGTGTTAAAACCAGCGGTGGGAAAAATAATAAATAATAGCGCTGTTTTGTTTTTGTGTTTTTTATCATATACATCTCTGTTACTACTGCTGGAACTAAAGACCTGTCGATCTGACAAATAGCTCCCAACTGTTCTCTCATCTTTACTGTTTAAAGTCTTACTCACTAAAAAAACTATCTCCAAAGAGTACAAAATTCATCTGTGTTTAATTTAATTTTGCTCAGTAGAACCCGCTTGGTCATGTGGGAAAACTGCTGTCCAGTTTTGGTAAATTATTTTGTAATTTCTTAAGAGGCAAAAAAAACATTTTACATTTACAATTCCTTTACATAAACCGCCTTGACAAGGTGCTCTAATGTTGTAGCTGCTTAGTGTTGTACTTTTACAGGTAGGGCCGACCAGCTAATGGAATTAAAACATTACATAACATTAATCTTCAAAAAAAATATCTAAATCAGTACCTTAATACTTTCCGTACCTAACACTCTGAGCTTACTGTATGTGTGGCTCATTTTTGATCAGGCACTCTATGGACGCAAAATAGATGCGACACAGGACCCATTTTAACTCACGTGTAGGCCCACTGTGTGTACATGACTAAAGTGAAGCGGTTTGTAAAACCAATACACGTTTGTAGATTTAAATATATTTGATCGATAAACCGTACTTTTTCCTGCAGAATGAGTTGCCAGATTACTTGTGTCGGGTGGGTGGCGAGAGGCCTTGCCAAGGAAACCCCGGACAAAGTAAGTAACATGTCGGGCTAGCTAACGTTAGCCGATCGGCGGCTAATGTGTCAACATGGCAGGTACACCGTGCTTCTATACTGATTTAAAATGACCGAAGTTCTCTGGCTTTTGGTTGTAATTTACACTTCTAGGTGGCTTTACAGATAACGTTTCACTTCAGACTGTCAACACAAAAACTGTCGTAATAATAACGTATAGTAGTCGTGTTAGATTACTGATCGTGTTAGTAAAACTGTTAGTTAACTTACAACTGATGTAGCTAAATGTCAGGTTTTTAAATACTTTTTTGAAGAGCTTAGCATTAGGATAATTGTCTATTTTCATATAGCCTTATTGTAAGTACTCTAAATTAATAGGGACTAGGGAGTCAGGAACGGTTTGATTAAAGACATATGCTAAATTGCTCAATTTATGGACTAACTAGGTGGCTTTTAAATCCTACTGTCAATCTCTTTCATGCTAGTGCTTTGTTAAAATCAGCTGCACTGGAAAGGTCAAGAGTTAATTCTAAAAACAGTTCACCTTAATGGTACCACCCGCAGGTTAGCCTTTCCTAAAACAATGAAGTCACATTTGTCTTTTACTTAATTTATCTAATACTTAAGTGTGTTTTTGTGCATTTAGATATTTGACCAAAATTGCCAAGAAAAAAGACCTAAAATTCACTGAGTTGATCAGCTTGTTTCAGCTGCTTCTTTTTATTCCATTTCAGGTTGAGTTGAGCCAAGAGGAGCTTCAGCGCATCATTGCAGAAGCAAAGCAGGAGCTGGGGTATGTTGGAATTGAGCACATGTTGCTGCCTCTGTTTTATCTCTTGGCATTGTTAAAGGTTCAAATGCCACAGGTGGGGCTGAACAATTAATCGAAATCACAATCTGGCCTACTGCAATTTTCAAATCGCAGGATGTACAATAGTTGTTAAAGGCGAAATGTGTCAAAATACAATTTTTTAAAATGAAATGTTGTCGTGCTGCAGAGATTTCCTGGCCCTACAAATCATATTCTACAGCCTTAAGAAAACATATTGCTTGGTACAGATCCTTGCAAAATACAATATCAGTCAAAATCGCAATTAAATATTTTTTCAAAATTGTTCAGCCCTAGTTTTATGTGAGCATTGCCAGTCAGTGGAAATATTCCTGATATACCCTGAACAGCCAAATAGCTGAAGTCATGTTTCTTTGTTTTTTTTGTTTTTGATCTACTCTGCTGAATCAGGGACCTAGCAGCTGAGGAGGAAGAAGAAGAGGAGGAGGATGAAGGGATTTCTTGTGAGCAGACTCCCAACAGTAATACAGAGGCCGTTGCTGCAGTTCCAAAGGATGAGAATGAAGAAGAAAAGGAGGAAGACGACGAGCTGGCAGAGTACGGCTTGGATAAATATGATGAAGAGGATATAGGTGAGGGCTGGGGGTGTTTATGTACAGCTTGTGTATTCTTTGGTGTGCAGACTAAGTCATTTTTGTTGTGCCTGTTTAAACGTAGCTGAGAGTGTTGCTCAGACTGTGTCTGCTGTTTGTCTGTCTTCAATTTAGTGACCACTAGTCTTGGTGACAGTCTGGCCGGGCTGACAGTGTTCAGCTCTAATGAGGAGGATCCTTATATCACCCTCAAAGACACTGTGAGTGACCTCAATGGTTTCATGCATACAGATTCAGTATAGTCCCATTTCAAGTAGCACCTAAAGCCTGACACCGCCTAGGAACGTATAGCTGTGAAAATTCAGAAAAAGTATAAATTTGTATTGTAATCCAACCTGTGGGAAAAAACATAGATGAAGACATTTTATCTCTCATCTTAGGTTTACTTTTAGATTTGTTCTTTCCTCTAGGACCAGTACGAGCGGGAAGACTTCCAAATCAAGCCCAGTGACAACCTCATCCTAACAGGCCGGGCAGAGAAAGATTGCTGCAATCTGGAGGTCCATGGTAAATATATTCATATGTGACATGACGAGATGACACTGATATTCTGAAGACACAGGAAAATATCTCCCTTTGTTTGGATACTGTTGTAATAAAAATGTAAGCTAAATGCCCAACATATCTTAATGTAATTCAAGGAAATTCAGATCTATTGACTTTGACTCCCCTCCTCTAACATTTCTCACCTATCTTTAAATATATCTCTTGCTTTACAGTTTATAACTCTGAGGAGGACTCTCTGTATGTTCATCATGATATTTTGCTGCCAGCTTACCCACTGTGTGTGGAGTGGCTAAACTTCGACCCCAGCCCCGGAGAAGGGCAAGGTAAGAAAATTCAGTTTTATTGAAATTTGTGCCTAGCTCTGACAAACCTCTACAAATTCCCAGGCGCCCGTTCGAGTCCATACCTCAGCAGCCCAAGTCCAGCCCAGCACACACAAAAAATGATCTTTAAAGAGGTGGTATTATGCTAATTTTCAGGTTCAAAATCCTATTTAGGTGTTGTACCAGAACAGGTTTACATGGTTTCATTGTCAAAAAACACCATATTTTTTTCATACTGCACATTTCCGCACCTCCTCTTTTCACCCTGTGTTGAAGGCTTTGTTTTAGCTATGGAGTGATACATCTTGTCTCTAAATGATCTTTGTTGGGAGTTGCACATGCGTAGTTCCTAGTTAAGGACTATTAGCCAATCAGAAGCAGAGAAGGGTGGGCCAGTGAGGTAAACAGCTTCGGTTTAGCTGTATATGTTGCCAACCAGTTTGGCAACATAGACTGGAGCAAGAGTTTCAGAGTGGTGAGTTATTAATGTGTAACAAATGTATCTTTCATCCATAAAGTTTTAACTGAGCTCCGTCTCTACATCACAGTAACAACTTTATGTCCGTTGACTTCCTGGAGGTTAGCTAGTGTTTGGAAAGGAGAGGAGAGGTGTGTGCTGCAGCTCACTGTTTTTCCTCCGGTGTTTTCCCTTTCATCCCTGTGACATCACAGGGATGAAGGGGAAGCGGCTGGACTACAAACGAGCTGTTTCAAGCAGTTCACAGCAGTGCTTTCTGTGGGAGATGGGCTGGACTTTGGGCTTTTTCTCTTTGCAAACCTATTACATGCACAAAAAAGGAATATAACTCAATAAAGGAGAGGGAAAAAGCCAAAAAGCATAATAACACCTCTTTAAAACATAAGAGATTGCCGCTCATTTCCAAACCAGGCCTCGAGGCGTGTTGACTTCTGTGATTCCACATTGCAGTTAAGCCTGACTTTCACTTTACAGTAGCTTTATCCTGTACTTACCTGACCCTGCTCTGCTCTGGGTATCTTTACTACAGTTAACTATGCCGCTGTGGGCAACATGACTCCTCAGATAGATGTGTGGGACCTGGATGTGGTGGACTGTTTAGAGCCAGCTTTCTCCTTGGGGAGCAAAAAAGCTTCCAAGAAGAAAAAAAAGAGCAAGAAGGTACAACTCTGTTCCTACACGGTCTTATACAAGCATCTGTATGGTGAGAGTGAGGGTTTGTTTACCTGATAACTGATTGCACCAGTGATAGTCGTGTTTATCCTGCTTCCCTGCATTATTATGTATTGCTTTGTTAGATATCATTAACACAATAACCCTGCCTGTTCTTGTTGATGGCAGGGGGCAGCAGCAGAGCCCGTTGACGGACACACGGACGCAGTGCTGGATTTATCCTGGAACAAACTGGTCAGGTCAGTATTCTGAGGCGCTGGTCCATTCACTGATAAAATTTCAATATAGTACTAGAAAAGGGTAATCAGATGTACATAGTTATATAGAATTTTCAAAATAAATCTGTTGTTCTGAGATTTTATACATGTTATGTTTATTTACAGTTGCTGTGTATGTGTACACTTGCGCAACTTCAATTCATTCTTCTACTGTAAAACAAATCCACCATCTCTTGCTTAGAAATGTGTTGGCCAGCGGATCAGCGGATGACACCGTTATCTTGTGGGATCTTACTCAAGGCAAACCAGCCACAACTCTGCGCAAGCAGACCGATAAGGTATTTAATGAGGGGGAAAAAAGAATTGTGTATATTTGGTATTACATCCTCAGAGTTTGCAGGCTTTGGTTTATAGAAAACTGTTTTTGTCCTTCAGGTTCAGACGTTATCATTCCACCCGTTTGAGGCACAGACTCTGATATCAGGATCATATGACAAGTAAGTGTAATCTAATATTGCTACTGGATTATAGAATGAAGTGAAAGGAGTTATACATTCACAGTGAGCTGAAAGCTAACATTTTCTCTCTTCAGGACAACCGTTCTGTATGACTGCCGCAGCCCAGACAACAGCTACCGGACCTGGAGGTTTAGTGGTCAAGTGGAGCGTCTGGCCTGGAACCACTTTTCACCATGCAACTTCCTGGTAGGTGCTCAAATTCTTCTGCTCCTCTTTAATGGAAATAATCGATGGACAAGATTTGCAGGAAGCAGTGATTAGTAGTCTTACAGTCTGGACTGGATAAGAATACTGTTCTCAGTTTTTTCTGTCAACTCCATATTGCTTTTTTAATATTGCAGGGATGTCTGACATGTTTACTGGGTATATTTATTTTCATAACGCTTGAATGAGATTCCACTGAGACACAGAGTCTCTCAACAAGTGACTGTTAAAAATACAAAACAATGGTGATGCCTTCAACCAGGCTGTCTCTAAACCCAAATCAGGGGCAGAATTGGCAATGTCCCTCTAATCTCTGTCTTAATATGATGATATGTCAGTAACCTCATCTTTATTATGCTACCTCCCAGTCTTGCAGTGATGAGTCAGTCTGTGGCTGATGTCCCTTAAGAACTTGAACAACATGATGACTTACGCAATCATTAGTGGTTTAGGCAAGTAAACAAGCATATTTGTCTCAGAGTGACACTTCCACTTTTGTCAGCAGCAAATGATCATTTCTTTGGACCACAGCAGAGATCCAGTGCTCAGACTTCAGATGCTAAAGCACAACCACACTGAAAGGCCTCCCACTGTTCAAATTCCTTTTAAAACTTGTGGTAAATAATAATTAGAAATAAATCTGGTGTGTTTTGCTAGATGATCACTGCACAGTAAACGTTGTTTATTCCTCTTCTGCTACTTCTTTCACAAGCTCGGTGGGTTACCTCAGGGTTCTGGTTGTGTTTCAGGCCAGCACAGAGGATGGATTTGTCTACTGTCTGGACGCACGCTCGGATAAACCCGTTTTCACACTGAGGGCTCACGATCAGGAAGTGTCAGGTAGGCGGAAGTGTGCCTAAAAGTGTTTGCTTTGTTCTAAATTTCCATTATTGGTACAGTATGTTTATCATTTCAACAGGCACAAATGATTTGTCACTTGTCTCCTCTGTGTGATGAGTCACGTAGGCAGTGATGACAGCATGGGTTTACAGGGTTTTTCCTGGCTCAAAATGAGGCGGAGGTGGTACCATCCTGATCATGTGCACACATGTGCGTGAGCCTTAAACTGGCTCAGACAAACACTTTTTACAAGCAACATACTTTAAGAGTTCTATATATGATTGAAGGAAACGATTATCATGTTAAAGGACATTTTATTAAAAAATAAAGACACCCTGTTTAACATGAAATCAAATGCAGCAGAAAAGCTAATGTGTAAATTTACACAGCTAACAATCAGAAGGTTGATTAAAATCAATCAGCTTTTGTAATCATTTATAGTTCAGGCTCCTCTTGCAGTATAGCTGATGTGAATTCTTGGATATTAAATGTTCATCTGGTTTTCTGTAGTGGTCCCATGCTAAGCTCTGCTTGAGACTGAGAACATGACCAACACATACTGAATATCTTGTAAAACAATTGGATTTTGCTGGCAAAATATTATTTACACAAATGCAGATCTCCCACTGTTTTGAAAGCATTTAAAAATGAATAAAAGACCATGTATTTCAAGTAACCCCCTCTCATACTTTTACAAGACAGCCCATCACTTTTTCTTTGATATTTTGTTTATTTTAATTCCTAATTTGAAGTATTTGCTTTTCTCAGTATATGTGACAGTCAAGTTCTTAGACCTAGGTATATAATGAACGAATATCATGTTCTACAGGTTTGAACTTTTGTATTCTATAAAGTGGGGGGAAAAGGTGATTGTCCTTCCATTTCAGCAGTATAAACAAATGCACACTGGCTTTGTAGAACAGGGCCATGTTTCAGAAAGCAGGTTTAACAAACTTTAGAGTTCAACCCTGAGCTCTGAGTTGATTGAGCCTGAGATGTGAAATTTGTGGTTCCAGAAAGCTGATCAGAATTAGTTCAGTCAACTGTGAGTATGTTGTGCCTGATGGAAGCGCATGCGTGGAGATTAAAAAAAGAAAGGAAAAAAAAAAAGCCATCATCAATGGAGCTCCGATACTACGATTCACCATGGCAACGCGTAAATAAAGGCAGAGCAATTTAATCCAATTTAATTGGGTGGAGCTAGAAATATGAATGCTTGCCAAGGCGGACCATGATAGGGTATTTATGTTGTAACGCAGGAAGGAATCAACATGTTAACAATGTTGCATTTTATACAGCGTTGCTCATTCATAATTTACCACACTGAAATTTCCCTAATGAATGATAAAGTGCTGGAATTCTCTATAGCCCATTACATTTATTTTAAATAGGCTATATTTATTCAGCTGTAACCCAACGGAACAAAATGCAGGTGGCAAAAACTGAAGATGAAAATATTAAATCGAACAGATCAGATAGAGTTTAGGCTCATGGACCTGTGATTGTGAAGTCACAGTCTGACCCAGTAGGTGGGCCTTTAAATTTTTTGTTTGCAGTGGAAAATGTGTCTATAGGTTCAAACTGACTGTAAAGGTTAAGTTATCTATTTTACATTAATAAAATCTTGCTCATTTCGTATTTAATGAAATTATGTCAAAACACGTTCCATCAGCAGCTAATAATGAGAAACTCACTTTTAAACTACATTATTTTGTTTCAGCTGCAACACAGTCATCCTCATTCAAATATATTCACATCATCTCCAACATGATAACTACATAGGGATGCTACTATAGGGATGTTCCAATCAGTGCGACTACAATATGAAAGATTAGCCTATAGATTTTATTCTGTGCTGAGGATAAATCCACAATGTCTGGAGATAACTCTTTCCAGGCATCGATGACAGATTGATCATAAAAGCGGTCACGTTCAAGATCATGTTTGGGTAAAAAAACTAATCGCTTATCTAACGGGGATTTTGTTGTTTCTAAAGACGTAAATGCGTTCAGATATGTGCTTTGCAGGAGGGGAGGAGTCAGAGAGAAACTCAGCGTTGAACCTAACCTCCTCCCGAGGAGTTTAGGTTCACAGCGCTGGGTGCATGTTGGTATGGCTGCTTATGGAAGGTTGTAAGATGTGTCTTTAGGTGTTTTAACTCTGTGAAGGGTGAACCTTCTCTCACACAGTGCATAGTGGGATCCCATGAATGAACGTAAAAAAAAAAAAAAAAAGGATAAATTGTTGGTGAAATCTTGAATCCACCACCAAAATTTTGATGGACAACTAACCTCCCTGCCATTGTGCCATAAATGTTTTGGTTATAGGTCTACTTCTTGGTGGAGTTCACATCTCAACTTCTCTCATTTCTGCAGGTTTGGACCTTAGCAGCCAGATTAAAGGGTGCCTGGTCACCTCGTCAGCTGACAAACATGTTAAGATTTGGGACATTTTGGGCAACAAACCCAACCTGGTGCACTCACGGGATATGAAAATGGTAAGAACTCACATGTACAGTATATTAGAGGTCAGATTCTTTCACCCCTGTCAGTGAAGTCTGCTGTAGTACATTGCCGTGTAAAACATGTTTGTGGATGTTAACGGAACTGTAACAGCTTACTTTGTAACCTCCCAACAGGGTGTGCTGTTCTGTGCTTCATGCTGCCCCGACATGCCCTTCGTCTATGCCTTTGGGGGACAGAAGGATGGCTTGCGGGTTTGGGATATAAGTGATGTTGCAGCAGGTATAGTTTACATCAAAGTGTTTCTTTCTTTCCTTTGTTTTTTATATCACAATAATTTGTCACTTTATTCTTAAAAACATGTTTATTCCAATTTAACAATTTAACTTTTAATCTGTCAAATGTATTTCATGTTCATTGTTATTAATGAAGTCGGCTGTTAAATAAATAAAGCTCTCATGTTACCGTGATTGTTTGCTTTTAGTGGCTGAGGTGTTTGGCGGTCGGGAGCGCCTGGTGGTGAACACAGGATCACAGGCATCCAGCACAGCAGCCACAGATGAGATGGAAGTCTCCCGGTGACTCTACGGATGCAGCCTGTAAACATGAATAAACTGAGCATCCCTGGAAACATATCAAGCTGCTCCGCTCGTTGTGTTCCTCATAGTGCGGCGCTTAGTTTCATGGGAAAAGGATCGGTGGGGGGGTGAAGTTTTTCAGAATGCAAACTGGACTAAAAACACGTCTTTCTGATAGGATAAGAACAGTGGTTTTGCCCACTCAAAGACATGTTAAGAAAAGTCAAGAAAATGTTTCTTATATTCGTGTAAGTGAATATTTCCAGGGATTTATTTTTGCTTTTTAGGGGGGAGCTGCGATTCAAATATTTGAATGACTCTTTGAATTGTTTATATCACTTTATGGTCTCTTATCGTTTGCCTTTATTAATTTCATTTGTTTTATTTCATTTACAAATGTAATATAATATGCTCCTAAGGCTGTTTTCATGTGGTCATTTAAATTGTGATATTGCATACCTGGGTTTCCATGGTAAGATGAAATCTTAGATGCGAGTACACAGGCTTCTTTTGAGTACTGAGGAAATAATAGACTTTTAATTCTGTATATTCAATAAATAATACAGTTTATAAATGTGTAATCCTTCTGTTGTTGGAAATCTGAAGCCCTCAAATGGATGGTTGACAAGGTACATGAATAAGAAATGGACATAACTCTTAAATGTGTTTAAAATAAGATAAGACTGTTTATTGAAGTGTATAGTTTATTCACCAGTTGTTGAGAAATAATTTTAGAAATTTTAGCATTAAAAAAGGGCTGCGTTTTCTTTTTTGTGAGTAGTATTTTCTGGATGTTTGAAAAGTGGAACAAAAGTGAGTCTGAGTGCTAAGACGGAACCATTACACCGATACACACCAGACAATAACCAATTGAGCATGGCGTCGGGTCAATTGTGCAAGCTACACAGCCTGTTAACGCGACTTTGTAACTGTGCCACACTACGACGTGCACAAAGTAAGTTCTGTCTTACATTTAACAAGGCGTCTTTTGGAGGACGTGCTAGTTTACCGGTTATAAGCGTTTAACGTAACGATAGGGGAGGAAAAGCTAACGGGGCTAACCTTGACAGTGTGTTTGGTAGGTAAACACTTGAATTAGGCTAGCGTTAACTGCGTTTCCACTGTCCAGATCAAATATCTGTTGAATAAAAAGAGTTTAGAATATTCGTATTTATAGTAATGACGAGTGTATCTTATTTAATTAATGGTCAACCATTCACGTTGACTTGTTAGCAGGTAGCAAACTCGAATCCATTTGAACTGTCTTAAGACCAAATAAATAACATGAATTGTGGTCTGTAACGTTAATGGATTTATGGTTTAAAATGTGGTGTATAATCTCCAGCCAAGAAGCTAAAATATGTCCATTTGTCCTGTTAATTGCATAATATCTATGTGTCTCACCTGTTTGGTTTCGTGTTGCAGCATGTTTGGTGCCAGTGCGACACAAGGCCGCTATCAGTGGTCCTTCACTGGATGGCCCTAACTGGTATGTTAAGAGGGTGAATTCAGAATAAAATAAGAAAAACTGCACCCGTATTTAGCTGTGGCACTAAGCTGCATTTAAACCCTGATATATACATTTTAATGAATAAATAGTACATTTTCACTTTTAATTATTAACCACATTTCACTGAATGAGAGGCAAACACTGAGAAAGTAGTAGTTATGGAAGCATTTTAAGATTGATGCTAGACAGATTGCATATTGTGCAGAAGGGGCTGCAACAAATGTTCCAGGAGAAGGTTCTCTGATTTATAGGTCACCTTTGGCTGTGCTTTGTAAATGTAACTGTGGGGACACATTGGCAGTTTTGTAGAAGTTAGCTGTGTAGGTCTACTTGGTCTGTGGGTTTAAAACCTGCTAATGACTACATTAATTGTGAACCAAATAAATGCAGAACAAACAAAGACTTATTAATTACATACAGTACATGGTATAGCCCGCGGCTGCAGCACTTTGCTCACTACTGCTGTTTAATCCAGTCTGCTTTCTTCAAATGTGTTAATTATTAATTTGTCATAAAGATATGATTGTGATCCAGACAATAACCTTCTAATGTCTTGGATTTAGTAATGTGGAAATCGGCGTGACTTCAGATGGGAAAACCATAGTGTGCTACCATCCCACTGTCGACATTCCCTATGAGTTTACCCAGGTAAGAGAGTGCCTTCTTATGAATATCAATATGTCAGTTGTCTAACAGAATATGTATAAGATGATCCTTTCGATTAGGACTCTTTACACCAGAAAGATAAATCAGAGGTCCTTTTAACTCATCACAAGCATTTTTCAAAGTAGACTTTTGGCGCAGGGGGAAGCATCATACTGTAGAACTGCAAACAAATGTGAAGTACTGCAATCATGACTGCATATTGCTGTCACAGATGTACTTCAGTTAGAAATTTATCACTAATCAGTACAGAAACACTGTTGCAGGATTGTGGGAAATTAACATAGGATATAACATGTAAGAGGGAACCTTGCTCATGACAGTAAATCTTTGCAGCCCATAGAACGGCCAGATCCCCTGACCAACACGATTGAGACCCATGACCAGGTTTTAAAGGCCCACCTCAGCAAGGAGGTGTTGAAGGACAAAAAGGGGCCCACTATAGAGGAGCTGAGCAAGATGTTTTTCACCACAAAACACCGGTGGTATCCAGTAGGACAGTAAGTACATTAGTAACAGAGCTTGATCGGTCACTCTGATAAGGAATCTTGTCCTTTTTTCTTTTTTTTTTATTCTTGCCCTGCACCATTAACGTATGTACCTGTAGTGTATATACAGCCATTGTGAAGCAGATTTGAGAGCTAAAAGAAAATGTCAGCCCATAAAGAATATTAATTACACTTAATTTCCTTCTGTTTCACTTTTTGCAGGTACCACATGAGACGCAGGAAGAAGGATCCCCCAAAGGACAGATAGATAAAGGCAAAAGTTAGAAAACTGCAAACGATGTTTGGTAGTCTTATTGTCCCAATAATGTATAATAAACTGTTAAATGTTAAGTTGGTTGTCATGGGTTTTTGAATAAGTGCTGCTACAATGGAACAATTATATGGCTTTGGAATCATCATACTTCACAGGGCTTCACATATTCTACTAGAGTTTGCAGAGCTTTATAATGTGTTCGTATACAATTTGATTATGTTACTGTTACAGTCAGCGGTTTACAGAGGATTTAATTGATTAAGATATTTGCTGCCAAATGTTTTTTTATATTCTTAATGTTCATGCAGCAGAAATTAAACGTGCATCAAAGAGCAATGGACCAGTAATAAATGTTACCCTTCAGTACAGCTGAAATGCAACATTAATAATTGGGTATTAAGTGGGTAAGGTCCGGCACACCACAACTAGACAGGTAAAAAAATATATATATATATATATATCTCCGAATGAACAAACTGTGCCAAAAGCTGGTGTTTCAAACAATGTGTTTGACTAATGTGCCTTCAAGATTTACAATGTTAAAAAGTGGCACAACAGAAGTGATCTGTGGTTGCCAAATATATGATTTAATTCACAAACACTGTTGCTAGTCACAAGATGCCCTTCTTTGTGCATTTCTCAAGTTCTCTGTCAATCATCTACGAAGAAAAAAGCCTTAGCTTTGCCATGTTTTGTAATAACAGACATACAGAAACATATACCTGTAGTCTGTATAAAGTATACAGTGAAAAATACCTATGTTGGCTTTAATCGCATACATCAAGAGATGGACCCCAACAAGACCAAAACGACTACATTAAACGATAGTCCTATCAAAGATCTATTCTTTTTTTGTGGGCAGCACAGACAGACCATATACTGTAACCACACTTGCATCTGCTTAAAAAAAATTTTCTCAACCACAGGCTGTGGTCTCGCCAAAGATTTTTCAAGTCAACCTGTAGAAATCATACCAGTACCATTAAAAAATAGCATATTGTTATCACTAGCCAGAATGCAAGACTTAATTATTATTATTTTTGCAGCTGAGTGATTCATCATTTTGATGTAGACCATTTTTTATTAATCAAAAGCTTTAATGTTTTGTTTATATAAAATAAAAATGCAATGATAACATTTAATTGTGTAAATAATATTCTTATATATTATTTTAGAGTTTAACAAATATGTTAAAGCTTGAAGGAAAAGTAAGTGAGAAAGAAAACTTTAGCTTTCATAATATAATAAGACACACCTAGCAGGACGGTTTAAACCGTGTTATACCTAAAATCTGATCAAAATTAAAAGTAGAAATAAGTAATTAGTAAATATATTTTTACATATCATCTTGCACACCAGCATATTTTCCTACGTCATTTGAAGCCACCGGAAGAGTGAGTTATCTGTCCCCGCCCCGACTGCTCAGTCAATCCAACCTGAAGAGAAGGCGAGTCCACGGCTAAAAATATAATAGCTAACACAAGATGGCCGGTTTGCCTCGTAGGATTATAAAGGTACACTTTAAACTTCACAGTGTATATATATTTTACTGAGCCTATGTGTGAGTATTGTAAAGAGTATTTAGGAAGAATATGGACGTAAAATAACTGCCATCCAACGTGTAGCCTGACGTTAGCGAGGTTAGCACAATTAGCTGTTATCTAGCTAGTTATCAAGCTAGCTCGCTGGTCCGTGTCTGCAAGTGTTTTGTTTTCCACTTCCGTTTACTTCCATCTGCGCTGATCTGTGGTTGATTTTTTTTTGTACGGGTAGATTAGTTGTCGTATATAAATTGTAGTTTTCACAACGCCGCGTTGCTTATTTGTAGTGTTAATCAACAAATTATGCCAATTTGTCTTAGTCGCCATATGAATGGATTCGCTAAGTAAGCTAGGCTAGCAGCTGTAGCGTTTGGTGATTGGTAACTAACTTACACATGTCTGGCTCTGGTGTGAAACGTTGCCCCAGTGGTTGCAAAACATTTAAATACTCGCATTAGAGCAAACATATTAGTAACGCGTCTTTTGTATAAAATGAAACGAAAAAATAGGCATACATTTAAGGCCTGTTGCGTTGCGGTGTCCTCCCTCAACCACACCGCAACTTCGCTGGGCCAGGCCCGGCAGTGGGCGCGATCTGCCTTTTCCGCCACATATAGCAGTCATGTCTCAGGTTTGACAGGTTTTCACAGCCAGTAACCTAACGTTGGTAAAAGTGAAAGCACTACCCTCCTTCCATTGTGAAAACCTACAGTTCGTTTTCTAATCACAACGTAGCTACGACCAGATTAAACCAGTTTCCTTTATGTTTACTGCAGATGTTTCGATGCACCTGCTCGATCAAATAACGAAATGTGGAAATAAATGTTGCACTTCCTCTTTTGATTTCCTTTGTCTATTGTAAGTGTAGCTCAATACTTAATTGATTTGCAATCAAACTCATAACTCTGCAAGTTCAATTTTGATTGTATAATTTTTTTAAACACCAGAGAACTGCAATCATGTGTTTACTGAATTTGTGTCCAAAAATTTATAGAATAATTTAGAGCTGAAAGAATCACACAGATTAATCGATTGACAGAAACTTAATTACCAACTGTTTTGATAATGGTTAATCATTTTATAGGTTACAGATTCCAT